TCATTCAAGAACATATTCTTTTTTTTTTTATGAAAACTATAAAATCTATATATTCATCAAAAGAAAAGATCACCAATGTTAACCAAAAAGAAACGAAGAAAAGATCACCAGTGGATTTAAACATTCACACACACACTTTTAATTTATGGGGTCCATTTATTTGAGAGAGTGTCGTGTTAGGGCCTAGCTTTACATCAATTTCTACAATAATGTATAAAATGAAAACATCAAAAACACACATGCCATATGCCAATTCTTTTTCCTCTTTGTTTTTTTGTGGGGGCCACACCAAATGGGTTTAAATATTAAAAGATTAATAATTAATATTACTTTTATTTTTCCTCGTGTGCACAGAAAAAAGAATTATCTCGTTAAGTTGTGATAAAGACATGGGTAGATTGGTTCTGTAACAAATGCGGCAATAACTGTGAAGAAGAACAATTCATCAGAAGCAACGTTTTACGTAATCGTTTTTTTTATTTTCTCCCCCAGATTTTGTTTTTATCACATTAATTTCATTGATCTAAGATTCTTGTAATCTTATTTGCAGTATTCTGCCAAGAAATTTTGAATTGACTTTGTTTGTTAGTCGTTTTGACGTGATGAGATCAAATATCGAATTAATTTTCCAGAAAAAATCAATGAAATTAAAGAACGGAAATACTTTTTTTTTAACCGCTTTTGCATGCCTTTAAAATAAATTATTTCCCAAGTGCTTTACCCAAAAAAAAAAAAACATCTTTCCCAAACGCGAAGAGATATCCTAAATTATCTAAATATAACAAGCATTTACGGCGCAAGTATGCAGTTATTTGAGCATAATATTTTATCAAGACAAAAATAGATATTTAATCATTTCACTTTTATATAAAATTTTACTAGCACTGTTAATAAAAGATGTTGAAATTAAACTTTCAATCGTTGGAAAACCCAAAATGCTACTATATTAAGTTTAATTTTTAAAAATAATAATAATTGGCCAAAATCATCTTTTGAAATTGAGTTAAACGAATGAAAAAAAAAAAGCTTTATAAAATTAATGAAACAAACTAAACTTCATGTATAAAGTTAACTATGGAACTAAAGAAAAGCACTTTTACCATTTTACTAATTTTTTTCAATAATTGATCGGTCATTAAATCATCTCTGACCTGTTGGATGAGGGAAGTTGAAAAGCGATCACTTTGCTAAGTCATGGTGGGACCAAGAAGCCAATAATGTGTGTGTGTGTGTGTGTGGAATTGTTTTTTTCTTTTGACCACTTGTGTGGAATTGTTGGACAAATAGAGAATAATATACTTTATGATTTAAGAATATAAAGTTCCATATTTGACTGACATAATTATGAGGAAGGGGAGTGGAAGAAGATAGCGGCCAAAACAGTGTCTTCAGAATTATCAACATTTGTCATTTAGCAAAAATATCAATTATAGATTATCCCTTAATTAATTTGTCACTTTCACGAAGCAAAGAAGCATAATTTATAACCACATACTTACACACACCCAATATTGATATATTGTATTGGCTCATCCGTGTTTGCTTTTGCTTGGAAAAGCGAATTAAACCTAAACATTCCTAACCCTAAAAGAAAAGTTGGGTTATGACTATAAAAAAAGGAAAGAAAGAATAGTTGGGTTATGTTAATTAAAGTGGTGTGAAAGGAAGAAAGAAATTATTGAACCTTATCATTATTTGACATTATTTGATTTCTTGCAAGCTTTTAATAATTTAGGGTCAGGGTTAGGGTTTACGTGCATGGAAGTGGGACCTTTGCGTTTTGTTATATTTTTATTTGATTATAGGCAGGACGGAGCCAGCAATCAAGTTCTGGGGGCCAAATAGTTTAAATTTCTTTATTTTAAATGTTTGTTTTTATTATTATTTATAACTTTATGTAAATATTCTCCTAAATGGTTCAAGAAAGATAGACTACTTATCACCCTTTTAATTAATGAATAATTAATGTTAATCAATAAGCTAATAATATATATAATACTGTGAATTTACCTTCCCAACAAGAGGATCAAATATAATTACAAATAGGTTATATAGGCCCGAAAACCTCATATTCTTCTGGTCCTATTTATAAGCCATTTCTAATATGTTTCACATAGACTAAGAAAAACCTTAAATTTCATTAACTCTCATTTAAAATTTAACAACTTCTCAATTTTATCCCTATTTAATTTACATTATACCTCATGTAAACAAAGTCAACATAATAATAAATAAAAGGTAACATTATATATCTCTACAAAAAATTTCTCTCAGTATCCTATAAATTAAATCAAAAAATATTTTCTCTCTTTGCCTATAAATAGGACCAGAAGAGTACATGACAAGTGGAGAGACCCTTTTCCCATACAATATATACTCCCCTTAATTCGGTCCTAATTAAATATGGTAACTGCATACTAATTTGCATATTTAACAATTAATTTACTTAATTATTTGTAAAAGATATGTGTTGGACTTGGTTTCATTAATAATTTCTCCCTTATGCTATTAATAAGGAGAGTTTAGAGAAAAAAACATAAATTTAAGAGATAAAAGTGGATTGATATTTTATGCATAGAACCAAAATAAAATTCTCTGTAGATTTTATATTTAACACGAGATTAAAATGGAATGAACTAAAGAGAAGCAGCTGAGTTACAGGACAAGTCAAAGTCAAAGTGTCACCGACGACATCGAAACATACGTGGACGGCGATGCTTAGGGTTCCGAAATTTTGCCCTATGGAATGTGAGCAATAGAATTTTTTTTCCCCCCTTTGGTTGCAGATCATGATACGTTACTACGTTAATCAGTTAATTAATTCAAAAAGAATGTCACATCTCTTAAATTACATTTATCTGTATTTGCCAAATACACGTTATTTATCATCGAATGTCACATCTCTTAAATTACATTTATCTGTATTTGCCAAATACACGTTATTTATCATCGGGACACCAACACTTTGATGTTGATATATCAATATCATTATTGGGAAAAGTTGACTAAAGAGTGATGAAAATGTGTATCAGTTTTACAATATCGAATACGATTGGGAAAAAACACAGGAGGAGGAAGTCCTAATGATTAATCAGTAAATCAGCTAATCTATATTAATTATATACTCATTCACTCTCTTTTCATAAATAATTGTATTTTTAAAAAATAATCACATTTGTTGTGTACTATTATATATATTTAATTAATTTTAACCAAATTTTTGACTTCTTACAAGAAAATATTAATTAACATCTTACACAAACTCATCAAAACCATTATACTTATGGTAAGAGTTTCATTAATGGATAATTTTCTAATTAACTAAGTGCTTTTTGAATTACTAACTCTTCTTCTTCATAAAAAGATCTAGTCTGAAGTTTAAATTTTGAACTATAAACTAGATTTTTTTAATTAAGATTTGCCCAAATCAACTTTGATAAACATGCTCACGGCATAAGTCATTGAAACAATTTGCACATTGTGGGGAAAGTGACTAATATTTCCTGTGATGTTATTTAGAATTAAATCAAGACTTGTTTAGATTCACGTTCAATAAGTACTTATAAACACGTTTATAAAAATTTAAAAAAAAAACTCATCTCACATATTTATTTTGTATTCTATAAATCATCATTAAAAAATTACTTATAAATCATTACCAACAGATAGACATGAATTTTATAGAGATGAAGATGGAAGAAATTAAAGTGAGCAGTAGGGGCTAAATATAGATTCCTTTTTCTATGGCGCTTGAAAAGTTTGAGGGTAAGTGTAGTAAGGAACACGGCAGCTCAATTACAGATATATGGGTCCAAAAGTAGGCACCGTCTTTTATTGACGTTAATCTCCCTTTCTCTCTCGGAATTCAAGAAACCCAAACGTTACCCAAACCGATCTCATTTATTTGTTTTCTTCTATATTCACATACTTTGACTATATATACGTTATAGACATATGAAACTTCCTTTTTAAATTGTTTTTAATATATATAATAAATATATTATTTGTGTTGCGGCCCTTTATTCGAAAGTGTCGTCTATCACAATACAACTACTATACTAACACATTAAAAGTTGCATGTGATGTGTCTTATCAAGACCCTTTTTCCCACATGGGGTTTTAATTAAAACGTGTTGGATGAATTTAAAGAAAAATATGATAATTGAAATATAGTATTACTATTAGCGAGACATGTGGTACGGTTAGGTTGTTTAAATTCAATTCAACTTGAATCATTATGATCGACATAAATATAATTTATACAAGTTCAATGAATTATATATTAAACATATATAATTAATTACAGATAATCCATTATTATTGATATTTATTATGTTTGACTATTAGCTAATTTCTTACTCTGCACGTACTAAAACATATCAATTATTGATTGGAAGAATTTTTCAAATATATACATATTTATATCGCTTTTCCTTTTTAACTCCCTCCACTCGTCTCCCTTTCCTTTGTTTTTTTCAGTTACGTATGAAGAAAATAGAACTCCAAGTCATCATTAAGATAAATTACATCTGAAATTCTGAATCATAATAATAAATCCAAATTTTCAATTAGGTAATCAATATTTTGTTGTTTTTCAATAAAATACCTTCAATATATATATACACACACACTTTTCTTCTTTCATTCTTGACATTATTAGTTCAGATGTTTGAATATGCATTTATTTTCAACGAGCAATGAATGATTCCTTATTATGGAGAGCTTCAATTCATTCTCTTTGTACATATTTTATTATTCGGAGCTACAATAATTGGAACGTTTTAGGATCAGACCAACGAAAAAGATGAAGATGGAAAAGAAAAAAAGAAAAAGAAAACAGAAAAAAAGACAAAAAGTTGGAGAATATATGAAAAGTTTGTTTTAACAATCTCTCTCTATCTCTCTCTCTCAAAATTATCAAAAGTCTTAGGCCTTAGACTTTTTGAAAACATTCTGTGGTTGCTAGTTGCTGGACAGCATTCACATTGAACCCAGACAGAACAAGTCTCTCTTGTTTATAATATATATAAATATCTGTGGCTTCGAGAGTTTCTCAGGCTGCTGTTCTTGCACCAAGTGATCAAGGCTCTGCAGAAATGAAGAACAGTAACAATTCTCAGCAGAGAACCGGCGTCCGGCAGTACCACAAATCCGAGCTTCCCCGGCTCCGGTGGACGCCGGAACTCCACCAACACTTTGTTGAAGCCGTCGAAAGTCTCGGTGGTAAAGACAGTAAGTTCTTCAATTTCCCTTCATATTACCATATAAAAACTAGGGTTTTCAAATCCATATATATATGTGTGTATATATATATATATATATTTCTGTAAAAGCTCCAGAAAACCGCACTGTTCACAGCCGGGATATATATAGTGAAGTCTCCATCCAGCCTCAAGAATATTGTTATAAACGAAAACAGACTAAGAACTAAGAATCTTCTGATATAATTCTTTCAGTTTTGGGATTTTCGTTAAGGAAATTTCAACTTGTTCATCTGTGTTGTGTTCTGAGTAAGTAATTAAGATTCTAGGTGGAATTAATTAAGATCCTATCCACATGGCTAGCTAGGGTCTCATCATTAAATATTTTCTTTTACTTGTTTCTCTCCCCTTCTCCTTCAACTTCTAGCTTGTTCCCTCTCTTGGATATTCTTCGGACCTAAATTAAATAGTTGAAAAGACTTAAAAACGAAATTAATTAATAATGCCAGAGGCCCAGAGCCATTACTAATAACTTGAAAATATTGTAGCAGAATAATATAATAATATTAACTACATGAAATCACATCAGGCCACTATAGAAGATAATCCATATGATCCATGTCTTTTAAATCAAGCGGCTGAAAAAAATGTTATCAACAAATTATAGATGCTTTAGATCATGATCATTTAATTAATTATTAATAGCATTTCTAATAATTTTGCTAAACTAATAATAGTTAATTTGTCTGTTTTTTTGTTTTTTTTGCAGAGGCAACACCGAAGCGTATTTTGCAGATGATGCGTGTGAAAGGATTAAGGATCTCCCACGTTAAAAGCCATCTTCAGGTAGGTTATGAATGATTATTATTATTATCATAATTAATAATATCAGATTCTTTTTCTGTGTGGTTTCTTTTCTTGAAAAAGTAAAATAATGTTGCAGCTTGTGATTTAAAAGGACAGAGATCTCAAGATTTTATTGTCTCATGCTTTCCTGTTATGAGATATCACAGACGAGCACTGGTTTCTAGATATATTACAATTTTCACCCTTTTAAGGAATCCTATTGTGGAAAAGAGTCTTTTAGTTTCACATGCCCACTTCCTTTGAGGCATTAAAAGCACAAGACTACAAGACATACCCTATATTCCTAGCTTCTTATTAGTGTCCTTCTTTTTCCATTTTGGGTTATTAATTAGGAAATTAAATGAACATTTCAAGTTTCAAGTCATCACGATTTGCAAGGAAAAGAAATTATGCTGATAGATTTTCCCAATTGAGACTGTAATTATTTGCATAAATCAGTGATTTTTTTAAAAGCGAAAAAAAAATCCTTTAGATAATTAAATTCTAAACCATTAACTTACTACTTTTTAAGACGGATAGATTCCTTTTGTTCACATTCCTTTTAATGAAACTTGAATCATCAAAACTCGTAATCTTATCCCTTTGGGCATAAAAGAAATCATTAGGTAGCAAACAGACAAACCACATAAATAATAATACCTTCTCATGCCGTATTTTTCAGAAAGGGAGGAGGAATAATATATACAATAAATATGCCCCTTTTTATAGACATACATTGAACTATGGACAAACTATATTTATATGTATATATATTACGTACATATATCTCCCTCATGAAAAGAATCAAAGAATGATTTTTTTTCAGTTAATATTCATTATGTAAATGTGTGTCGTGTGCATGCATGCGCATAATGCAGCATGTATACATATAATTAAGTAATATTAATCAAACTATAGTATACCTGAGTTAGGTATAATCGCTCTATGAAAAAGGAAAAGGTTGAAGGATAAGAACTTGTTCCCTTTTTCTTTTCCACCCACTCATTGCAAGAGTATGTTATCATTCTTCCTACTAGTACCACCTCTATTATATAGATATAATACTCTTCCGGTACTTAATGTAGAACTTAATTTAAAAATGGATACTAGTCCTATATGTAAGACTCATTTCGTATGTTTATCAATTTTTTTTAATTTAACCCTATTGATATTCTCCTAACAAAATCAACTAGGGGAGGGAGAGATGGAATTAAGGAGGATGCTTTGGATGTTTTAAAAAAATGTATCATATTAACTAATTTAACTAACATCCTTAATCTACTTAAATTAATTAATTAGGTCTTATATTAAGATAAGAGGAGTATCATCGATCTAAAACAAGCACTCAAGACAAATATATGCAAGTTTATATTCATAATTGAGAATTTCTCGTACGGAGTGTCTGTGTGCGTGTTATATAATGTAGCTCCAGCATGGTTGTTCAACCAGAAAATAATCTTTGATACGATTGTTTGCATGGACATCTAAACAAATGATACTTTTCCAGATCATTTTTTTGTATTAAAAAAAAAAAGCTGCCATTACAGAGTTTTTATAGGGACTATCCTGACTACAATACTGAAGAGGCCTTCAAAAGAAAATATCAATATATAATATCAAATAATTAATGTTTAGCAAGTCATGCTACCTAAATAGTGCATTATAACTCATTTTTTTATGTTAGATTCCGTAAGATACATAGATCTATATGTATCTTGTTCATTTCTTTTTTGGGCAAAATATCTTTTCATTTGTTAATACACACAACTAAAGTTCAAGTATGAGTTAATGATGGGAGGAAATCTAATTATATCGGACGGAGTATGTATATGTGGAGAAGGCTTATAGACTCACTAGTCACTACATTAAATTTTTTGTCCTGTTTTTTAATTACAAAAGCATGTTAATTAGTAGTTTGAGGATATATATATATATATATATATATATATAAGTTAAACTTGTGACCTTCTAATTATAAGAAAGTTTTCATGTTACTATGTCACAAGGCTTTGACAGTACATTAAGGTAGTTTTAAGCAAGATCTGATCATTAGTGAAGAATACTATATTTGGCGTTTATTAAAAATACAGTTAGCATATATTTAATATATTTTGCACTAATGGATACATAAATTAATAAGAAAATTTACTAGGAGGTCCCATGGAAGAAACATGTATAATCACCAAAAAACTCCCAAAAAAAAAAAGCAGTATAGACCTGTTCTTATTTTCGATCCTTCAAAAACTTGTTATTCTATGTTGTTCATTTATTTTGAGGTATTTTTTTTAGTAATTACATTCTTTTTCTTAAGATGTTACGATGATATTTCCAAACTATTACTATAATTCCTCTCAAAGTTTATTAGATTTGCCCAAATGCCAAAAGAGATATGCACAGAATCCAATTGAATCTTGAGGCATCATTATCATCATTTACATGCATGCTACATGATTCTTTTCCTTTTTATTCATCTTCTTCAATGGAAATTAAAGTGCTTTAAATTATCATGAGCATTCATGACTATAAAAATAAAATATATCAATTATCAAGATCTTGAGTTTGATTATATAGCCATTTTTCATTGTGATTATATACACAGATGTACAGAAGCATGAAAGGGCATTCCATCATGTCACCAGTTCATCATCATCATCAAGAACATAAAGGAACAGCTTGTGCTAATGATCTGCGTATCTGCTCCATTTGCTTACCCCAAAGGTATAGTCATGATGATGATCAATTTGTTAACTCTTCTTTAAACTGTTTATAATCAATTTTAAATCAGCTTCGAAGTTCACATCTGAATAACTAATTATATCATCAGCATATCTTCTCTGAACACGCCGTTACTTTTCCAGAAAATCTAACTTCAATTCAGAGGTTACACGCACACGCACACACACACTCTACTTCAATTACAAGTTTGCTGAATATATATATATATATATATATATATTTATATCATGATGACTGATCATAAAAGCATATCAGATTTGCACAGGTCTCACTGATTCAAGGGATATTTCTCGATTTTTGAATCATTTTTGTCTATTTGCCTTCCACCATCAAATTATATGTATGTGCTGTATATATTATTTACAAAGCCATGAACAGTGTGACTTTCAACTTTGAACTTCATTATTATAACTGTCACAAAATCTATTAAAAAGCTGCACTTGAAGTCGTAGTATAAATTTACACATTCATGAATAATAATATGACAGTTGTATGTATAATTCATGCCCATATATATTATGTTCATCAGATCGCCGGGAGAAAAAGTTTTAACGCCAAAATATAGCAATAATGTAAAGAGAGAATTGCATCTGTTAGATATCAAAGGGCTTTCACAAAGTAGTGAAGAGATTTATTATGATCTCAACCAGGTATTACTCTCTCTCTCCTCTCTTCTCTCTCTCTTTCTATATACTCTTCTGCTCCTTAATATAGAACCGAGTTATTAAGTTAATTTTAATCCTAAATATAAGACTTATTTTTCATATTTATTAATTTTTTTGAATTACTCTTATAGAGATTTCCTCAATTATAATCAAGCAAGTGGGGGGAAGAATATTAAAAAAGATAATTATGGTGTTTTAAAAAAAACATGTCATATTTCTTATAATTAACTAATTTACCTAACTTTCTTAATCTAATCAAATTAGTTAAATACGTCTTATATTAAGGATCAGAAGAGTATAATATATTCTGAAAAGCTTAGATGAGTTAGGTTCAGTTAAAAAAACTCGTACATCTGTTGGCAGATAAATTTAACCAATGCCGGCTCCTTAATAACTGCATCAAATTTGGTCAACCAAATGTTATATTTCCTACTGTCCTATTTATAAGCGAAGGAGGAGTGTGGTCTATTTTATAAGTTTTAATTTGGGGTTTATCTTAGTATTTAGTGTATTTTTTAAAAAAAGTTTGTCCTTAATTATTTATTCTTTCTTATTTGTCATACTCTTACTTATCACATTTTTTTCATACATTCTTTCTTTCTTTTTTTCATTTATTACAAGGGTATATTTGAAAATAAAAGTATATTTCTAACCTATTTATTATTTTTGACTAAATTTAACTAGTCATTTGTTATTCATGGATTAATTATTGGAAGCCTATAATAAAGACTGGAGGGAGTATATTATATATACACATAGTAATTTCAACAAAATAAAATATTTGGATCATAATACTACCTTTAGTTCTTAATATAAGAGTTTGTTTGACTTTTATTTTGATCCTAAATATAAGATTCCAATCCACTTTGTTTTTTATATTCATTTATTTTTTCTCAAGAAAGTCCTTGTAATAATGATAGTTCTAGCCAATATACTTAATTAGTAAGAATATTTTAAGAAACACAACACCTATTTATTACAAATAACTAATTTAACTAGTTTTTTTAATTTACTCAAATCAGTCAACTAGCTCTTTTATTAAGGACAGAATGTAGTGTTTCATTCATCAAAAACCTCCTGAATGTTCTCATTCCCTTTTTTCATTTACAGGAGCCTTATACAACGACAAGTACAGAAAATAGTGGCACAGCTCCATTTGGTGACTACCCACTCTCTTTTGATCAGTCACATCTGTTTCCAGTAAATATGGTGCATAGTGGGAAAGAACAAGAAGAAGACGACGAAGACGAAAAGGATCAAGTCGTTCATGACTCTACTAGTTCAACACAGTCTCTTGGAAGGAATAATTACATAAACTTAGACCTAACTATCTGAATCTCTACAATAATGCCCTATATTTGCTGAAATTTTTTTTGACCACTTCCTATATTATTAGCTTAATGACCCACAATATATTAGTTAGTGGCTCATTTTCTGTTTACATTTAATTTAACTATAATAAAATGGATCATGAAATTAATTAGCCACTTAATTGTGTGTTAGCATTATTCATTCAAGCTAAGATAAGATGTTATCCTCATTTGGATTTCAGCCCCAACTTATTGTGTATCCATATTACTGAGGCATTAAAAAACCCAGGTAGTCATTGAATCCGTCGAAAAATTGGTTTAAAGTACAATGGTCAAAGCCCATTGTAAATAAATTAATATATTTTTAATGTGTCCCAATTATTTTAAATAAAACAATAGTATTCAGAAAATAAATATAAAATAATTATGATGAGGTGTAAGATATCTATAATCGATGTATGTTTTATAATACTTACAAACATTTCTTATATGTTTAACTATTACTTTACGCAAAGACCCTAGGTTATAAATGTTCAAAAATTAAAAAAGATATAATGGATTCGATTAATGAAATCACGAATTTATTACTTTTGATTTGTTTGGGGTCAGTTTGACTAATTGTCAAACAATTATAAAATCCTCTCAATTCCCACTCTAATTCGAATTAGACGTGGTGACTTGGTGTCAATTGGTTTTTCCAGTTTAATTAGTTAGTTTGGTTGGTTGTTTGTAATCTGCATATTACTTATGATACAAATCTACCAAATTATTAGCAATAAGATTCAAAATTGGGATGAAAGACGCTTGTACCATCCGCGGTTTTGTTTGCAAAAGCCAGAATTAAATGAGTGAGATTTGCAAAAACAAACTGAAGAACACATTTGAGCTCCGAGTTAGGGCTTCCTCCACGAGGGTTCGACTATTTTAAAAGTTTGGAGGCATGTTTGGAGGTTTTGAACTTCCGATCACTTATTTGAGGGGTGATATGATAGTGAATGATGATTCCTAGGGTTTGGGTCGCTTGAGGTTTCCACTTTCTTCCCTCTTTAACTATCCTTTTAGGCTGGAGTATTATTATTTTTTTTGGGTTACAGGGGGCGGGATTGAACCCGCATGCACACACCCCACACACACACCCATACCATTTGGCCAAACGGCCGGGGGTTAGGCTGGAGTATTATTCATCTAGTGGTTGTTGTAGTAATTTGAGCTGACATTGGCCCTAACTCATGATTTGGGATTTGGGGTTAGTGTTTGGTGAGTATAGATAGCATATGATGTTACCGATTGAAATGGGATTTGATGTAGTTATATGTTTATTTGAGGTTGAATCGAGATTTAATTGGTTGTTTTTAGTTTAGCTCTTAATTTCAGGATTAATATAATCTCAAGTTTGTTCTCATTTTGATTTTGATTCCCCAAGTTTCAAACTATAGGTTTTGGTTCATCAAAGGGCAAAATAGTCTTGGTTTTTATTAAAATACAAGGACCAATATTATTAAAAAAAAAAAGAAACTTAAAGGACCAAAACCTATTATTTGAAATTTAAGGGACCAAAACCAAAATAAAAATAACTAAAAATTATATTAACCCTTAATTTCACAAGTGCGTATGTTTGAATCCTAATTTGAGAAATTGGGAATTTTGATGGATATAAGAAATTGAATTGTAATTAAAGACTATATTAGATTAGTTGGTATATGAGTAGATATAGAGTTTAAATTGGGCAGTAACGATTAAGCTTAAGTGAATTTTTGGGAATTCAAGGGTCTTTGAGTTACAAAATGTTTGAATTAACTTTTTAGAAGTTATTTTACGAAATATGAGATAAGTATATGAGAAGAATTTGGGTGAAAACACTTTTTTTTAACTCATTATAGAGGAAATCCAAACTCCTCCTAATTTAATTTGATTCTTTCTGAGCTTTTGTTAATTGAGTTTGAATTAAGCTTAGAAGTGAATTTTTAAGAATTCAAGGGTCTTAGAGTTACAAAATGTTTGAATTAACTTTTTAAAAATTATTTACAAAATATGAGATAAGTATAAGAGAAGAATTTAGGTAAAAACACTTTTTTTTAACTCATTATAGGGGAAATCCAAACTCCTCTTGATTTAATTTGATTCTTTATGAGCTTTCGTTAATTGGGTTAATGTGTAAATTTGTCTCATAAATTTTCACCCAAGAACATTAGGTATCCGAACTTTTTTTAGAGAGTTAATTTGCCATGAAAGTTTAAAATCACAACAATAATATCCTCTGTCATTAAAAATATTAACAATTAACATCACTATTTAAATGGTAGATATAAGTTTTTTTTTAATGATTGGAAGCAACATTGCTACTACGATTTTAAACTTTTAAGACAAATTTGCTGGAAAAAAAAATTCCAAATATCTAGTGTTCCTCAGTGAAAACTTCCAAGACAAATTTATACTTTAACCCTTGTTAATCTAATTGTTATACTTTAACCCTTGTTAATCTAATTGATTATACAAGGTAAACTTTTCATATTGAACACTAACAAATTTTGGGTCCTTTCCACTATGCTCTTGTATGTCAATGTTCTTTCAAAATCTGGGAAAAGTGAACAAAATTTTGGAATGTGAGTAATTTAAAATAAAGTCAGATTCTAAGAGAAGGTTTATGGCTCTCAAGCAGTCAACCATAACTCACTATATATCTAGCTTCATAGAACAAACAAAGCTTTTTGTAACCATAAATTAAAGATAGATTTTACTAATAAACCCCATCAGTGTAGACCTATATTTTCATATCAAATTACATTAATTAAAAGAGATTCAATTAAAATTTCAAAATGATAAACAATTGGATTGAAATCCATATCATGCAAGGCCCAGCATGGAAGTGAGGGGTAAAGGATTCAGGGAACAGCAAATTTTACTCCAATCTTAACTGTAACATGTTCCTATGAAGTTGCATGAAGAAGTCCAAGTTCAGAAAAGAAGGCATAAACAGGTCTGTCAGAAATCTGGAAACATTATTATCACTTCAACATTGATATAAAGTAGTACAGAGTAATCCCTACTTAAATGATATCCAATAACAACATCACCCTTCTTTCCTGAAACCAAATTGATCACAGACGATTGAAGATAAAGAGAGAAGCCAGAAATATGAACTATTAAGAAATGCAAATTTCCCAAGAAGATTCAATTCCTACCATTCAGTGAAGCATATGATCCACTTCCACCGCCAATTGCAGCCTTTGGTTCCAAGCTGGATTCCTCTGATTGACATAACTTTTGGAGGGCAGATTACAGATGACTTACATAACTGTTGATTGCTTAAGGACCCTCCAGTGCAGTTGAATGATGTACTCAACTTGAAAAGTTTTATCCGATAAAGTTCCTCTTTGCATTTGAGAAGAAGAATAAAAATATAGTTTATGATTTATTTTGATATTCATGGACTTCTATCTTTTGACGTAGTCCGAAACAGATATCATAGAACATTCTTCTACAAGACTACAACCACAGAAAGCCAACAATGTAACCAGAGTATTTCAGTATAATTTTGGGTGGACAGAAAAAAAGAAAAAGGAGCATTCAGTATAACATGCACATAAATGTCATGACCATGAAACATCTTAATAGAAGACTTATTTACAACTATGATCAAAAGAAAAATGAGTGGCACGACTTTCAGATGAGTTACCGAATAGAAAGCAACATTCTGCGAATTCAGAGTTCAAATTGGGTTTCCAAAAGATATCAAGCGGCTAGCACAACAGTTGAATAACTATAAAAAGCCACGTTACATGGGACTGACTTCAGGTAAAGTTCCTAACTGACCTTTATAGATGCTCAATATTTGAGGAACACTTTCCTCAGAACGGAACACAAATTTCTCCAGAAACTTTTTCTCACCTAATATATCGGGAACAGAGGGACTATTTTTCTTTATCAAACCCTTAGTCCTCAAAAATCTATACAATGCCCATCTAGGAATCATCCTCGCCTCCAAGCTATGGCCAGGAAGAGATGCAGATTTAGCTATATCTTTCAATGGTAAACGCATTTCATTCAGTAAAAACTTCATCGAGTTAATGATTTTCTTCTCTGTCATGATCATGCAAATTGGAGAGTTACTGAATGCTACAAGAGTGATATCTCTGCGCATGCCGCGCCTCTAGAAAATATCCAGCTTCGACTCTCATGTTGATTTTTGCAAGCTCGACATGACGTGAATCGCCATAATGAATGTGGCCCTTGAGAGTTCAATTCCTACTCCCTTGGCAAACTCGACACATTCAACAAACTTGGCATGCTTTGTAACTGCTACGCTGGCATATCGAGTTACCATCATTGAGACAGAAGATTGAGGCATTCCATGTTCTCTTAAAACTTTTAGGTTTGCGACAAAATCCTGTAAATAATAGTGGTGAAATCTCCACTGAGAGATAGAGTGTTTCAGAGCTGTTTGTGTACTCTTATCATCATTACATTCGCTATTAAGGGCCTCAAACGGGAATTACAAATTTATTTAAACTCCGGCATAGGAGTCCAGGATTAGAAAAGATGAGTTCTGGGAGCTTAGAACCAGAAAAACCAATAGACTGGAAAAAACCTCAGCTTGGGCAGAATGATCGTCCCAGGATTTGCGAAAAGCAAATTTGGCAAATGTTTCACTAATTTAGATATCTGGGTTTCTGTTAACCCGTAGCTCCTGAAAAGATCAAGCACCATGTTGTGTTTGTCCCCGTTGTTCAATGTAATCTTTTTGGATGCTTGAATAGCAGCTTTGGGGGACAAGCCACATGAGTTAATGAGATAAGAAACAGTAAAAGATTCGTTTCCTTCTTGCTTTTGTTTTGGATGAGCAGATTCAGTTGATTTCATAGTTGAAGAAAACGAAATGAAAATGCGGGAAAATTTGCGACGCAGAAAACCTATACGGTTCCTCCTAATGCACGTTGGTAACACAGAAAATCTCGCAGTCAGGAAATTAAGCATGACTGATGACGAGAAACTCACCCAGATTGCGTACTTCTCAGGCGCGCGCGCGGCAGAACTACCAAATTTCTCTGCTTTCATATTTTCATTATGCGATCTTTTGAGGTCCGAGGGGCTTGGCTTCTTCGATTAGACAAATGAAGGGAGGAACCAAAAGTCCAAAAAAGAAAGGACAAAATGCAACGACGGCGTTTCAATCCGATAATCAAAATAAAATTGTGGCTCCTGATCTGCCTTCCATTCACAATCACAAATCCACAATGAAGGAGCACGCCAAAGAGTAAATTAGATAATATCCATATATTTGATATTTTTAATTTTATTTATTATTTATTTTAATATTTTTATAAAAATAAGATAATTTTAGGGAGAAATGGACTTTTTCCTCTACAGTCTCACCCAAAATACAAACAATTAAATGTTTTCAATGACATTTTATTTAACGTCCATATAATATATTTGAAGCACAAGGATCATCTATCTGATGCTTTAAAACCAAAAGTACCCTTCTCTCTAAAATTTGATTAGACAGTAAAGAAATTAATACTATTTAGAATGGATGGCATTTTGAGAGGAGTGCTCTAGCTAAAAACCACCAAAAAAAAAATCTTAAGTTCTGGATTTAAATTATGAAAATAAAGTATAAAAATTCAATAAAACAAATAGTCCGCCATGTCATCCACAAGTGTCACCCTTTAGGTATTATCTCTACTGAAAGATGCAAGCATGTTTGGCAAGGAGGGATGAGGAAAACATTTATTTTTTCTTATTTCCCTGGGTTAATCTTTTTCTTAAAGCACTGCAACACTATTACATGGGACTAAATTTTTCCCTGCACAATCCTCATTTCTCCAAGTCTTAATAACATAGCATCCACCTTCTCATAGCCAAAACAGAGATAAATAAAAAACTGTAGAAACTGAAACCTCCAAGATTCACCAATATGTCTCCTGAGTGTAAATTTTGAAAAGCTTGTGCTTCATTTTTAATCAGTGCTCAATGAATATTCAATGACTACTAAAAACCAAAAATGAAACACTCAGCACTCAGCAGCAAAAGAAGCGCCATTTCAACTTGTTATTCCTAGCACATTTGCTATGCATACAAGTAAAACATTGTCTTGAACTGAATTCCAGTGCAAAATCCCATTCTCATTTCTCTCAAGTTCCAACAAAGGAGGGAATACAACCACTGCTATCATTCCAGTGTGAGAAAGGGGATGCCTCAAACCCAAGGATAGAGGGAAAACAGCTATCGAGGAATCAATCTAGTTCCTTAACAATCTTAATTCCCATTGTATTAGCAGTGCCAATGATGGACTTGGAAATAGATTCAAGAGACATGTATTGGCAATAAGGATCAGACTGTTTAATCTTGGCGATCTCATAGATGTGCTTTAGAGAGAGTGTAGAAGCCACCATGTGGCCTGGGCGGCTGCTGCCGGATTCGATTCCAGCTGCTTTCTTGAGATACCAAGTCACAGAGGGAGATTTGACGGTGAATTCAAAGGTGTTATCCTTGAAGGCCGTGATTGTCACTGCCATGGGTGTGTCTGGCTTGTACTTCTGTGTTCGCGCATTGAAATCCTTGCAGAAGGCCATTAAGTTGAGCCTATACTGACCCAATGCTGGACCCACAGGTGGTGCAGGTCGTGCCCCTCCAGCCGCCACAGTCAGCCTGATGGTGGCCGCCACAGGTCGCCGTGCAAGGATTTCTTTCAAAGTTGACATGGGGTTTGGTGCTCTCCAAAGAAGGCAACTTGCTGTTTCATGGATATGCACAGCAGATTGAGAAAGAAAACATTCAAAATACATAATTCATAAATTTTTCAATTCAAGCTCATTTCATAAATCCACAACACTGAAACAATTAAAGCAATAAATTACAAGCTTCACACAGATTGAAAGAGATTAGCTCTCTCCAACAAAGTATCAAACCATTTTCAATTAATACATCTAACAAAGTATCAAACCATTTTCAATTCGGTTTTTTTTTTTTTTTTAAGGAAAAGCAGTCCAATTCGAGCCAGCCTCTGGCCCTAACGGGCCAGCTCCTTGACTCCAACATAATGAGTGAAATAATCAACATTTAAGGAATATATAGACTCATACCTATCCGATCAATACAATAAGATATAGGCGTTTATAGGGCTTTTTACATATGAAAGTTTAATCCAGCTTCAACTTTCATCTCCTTTAAACAGAAATCTGATCAGACTTGAAGAGGGGAAAGAAAAAAAAAAACAGCAATGCAACACTAAATATATTACTACTTGTCAACATAAAGTGAACATATATAATAAAATGAATAAATCCAGACATGAGAAAAGAGATAGGATCAAGTGAAATTATTGATACCAACTTAATTTATCTGCAGCTTAACTACTTGGAAATCCTTAGAATGACTGCATTTTTTTTTATAAACTACAAATGGCCAAAGTAAACGGAAACGGCATTATATATACTGAAGCATAAAATCCAACTTCGTCTTTGAATTGCAGATAAAATTAGAGATCATGATGATGCAATCAGGGAATATTCATTGTCATAATAACAAACTCACAACACAATAAGAAACTCATAAAACTTAAATCAGAGTAGCTGAATCATAAATCCAATAGAGGATTTAACCCCCGGGGGGGGGGGACATATATCACGACTGTCAGACACTGTCAAACTACCTGAAAGGGAACAGTTTCGAGCTTACCCAAAACTCAATGCACTGAAGGGCAAAGGGACAATGTTGACTGGGATTTGAGGGAGACCTGCGACTTTCGATTCTGCCTTCTGCGAACTGCGAATGCGAGTGGCGAGAGAGCTCAGAGCCTTAGACTTTCGGTTCTACCTTCTGCAATGCGAGTGGCGAAGGCGAAGCAGGAGGTGATGACTGATGACGTTGAGGGAGACTCAGGCTTGCGACGACTGGTGGCGAAGGCGAAGCAGGGAACGACCGAACAAGGAGCTCTGCCGTAGACCGTGCCGTCAGCTACGCTAGGGAGCAGGGATTTTGGAGGAGGCGATCGCGATTTTGGTTTCGGGGGGGAGGACAGCTGCGCGAGCAGAGGGTAATCAGGGGAGGGAAGTAGGGATTAGGGGACTCCACGGTGAACCATCAAACCAGGCAAGCCGAATGGTGAGAACCAAAACTGAAGAAGGGTTTTTTTCACCCCTTAAATAAAACGGCATCGTTTTGGGCATTGTGGCAGGCCAAAAAAAAAAAACCGGACAACCCACCGAACCGGGTTACCTGGTTTCATATCAGTTTAACTGGATAAACTGGTTTTTTACTAGTTCAGTAGACCTCCTATCCAACAATTAAATCAGACCAGTTTACCTGTTTTCTTATTAAACTAGCCGTTCAGTCTGGTTTTTTTTCTTGGTCTAAAACAAAAGGCAAGGGGAACCAAAGTAAATTTATAATTTCAATTAAAATATAATCTAAATTTAATGTTTGATGATGTCTCAAATAGAAGAATGTCTATACTTTAACAAAAACAAAAAAAAAATCCAAATTAAATTATATAAAAATTATTTTAAAAAATGCCATGGCTTCTTTTATTTAAATACTCCTCTTGCCTTGTTTATAAGTGAGAGAAAATATTTTTCTAGAGAATTATTATGAGGGTTTAAGAAAAAAAATATAATTATTAAAAAATTTCAATTCAGCAATAGTATGAATATGTTGTCAAGTTGTTGGGCAAGAGAGTAGAAAAATGCAAAATAAAACTATATTTCTTTCCAAAATATGAAAAATTTAAGTTACTTGTAACATTCAAATTCAAAATTTGGTAAGAGAGAAGAAATATATTTCATTGCCTTTTTCTCTTTATAAAATATATTATATCTTTATAAATGTATTTAATAAATTTGTATCCAATCATTTTCAGTTACTTTTGGCATTCAAAATTAAAAATGTTCTGCAATCTCAGTTATTTGTTGACTTTACTTTTAATTTCACGTCAGATTTCTCTGGAAACCTTTTTTCCCCTTCACTCGTTACAAGAAATGGGTCTTGCCGAATTGGTGGCATATTTTATTTTGTGTAAATTGAAAGCCTTTCTCAAGTCATTTTAAACTAATTTCTATCGTGTTGGGTGTAAAACCCTTTTTAAAACCCTTTTGCTTAAACGTCAATACTCTTCACAAGACCACTACTATGGTAGAAAAGGAAAGTTGTTAATACGAGCTACCATAGTAGAAGGAAATTTCATATTTTTAGAAATTAACTTTCAAACTCGGGTCAACCCGAGTGACGTTGCATGCAACTAAAATAACCCATTTACATCTACTGGGCCTCCGAGCCTCCGACCCGGGTAACACATACATCAAGACAGCCCATCCAAATAGGTTTTCCACCAAGTAAAACAAAGTTCCATAAAACCATAGCAATGGCCTCCGGCCAACAAAACGAGTAGATAATGTATTCTCCAATTTACAATAAGGCCGGGAATCAGAATATTTCAAGAAAACCCTAGCTGTGGCAATATACAACTATCCATACATAAATAAAGCTAGAGGCCTAAAGCTAACCAAGCTCAAGCCTCCGAGTTTCTTCCCGAAGGCACACGCCTAGAACCTTCACCTGAAAACATTGTAAACCACGGGGTGAGACAAAGTCCCAGTAACCAACCTTTCCAATACTAGGTACTACTAAATAGGTGCTCGTGAGGTGTCAAGTGGGGCAGTTCACAAATAATACATAATGATAGTCACAACAATTTATGCAAATGCAATGATGCAATCCCATCAACCAAATCCCTCACTTTGGGGGATTTTCAGGAGCCGAACCCGGCCTATCCCTCACTATGGGGGACGTAAGGAGCCATAAAGGCCTATCCCTCACTCTGGGAGACGTAATGAGCCCGAAGGCTTATCCCTCACTATGGGGGACGTAAAGAGCCAACCATCATGCATTAATGGAGGCCTTACCACGTGGTAGTAACAGACAAAACTCTCACCAAATTCCCAATTAATGCATCATGCTCAAATCATAATCAAGAGTAATAATCATTTCACAATTAACCTCATTCAGTGGCATATCTTTCACAATCCCACAATTTCATTCATCATAAGTCCAAACCCCACAAGACGGTTTTCCATTTTTATATACAACATATAATTCGAACACAATTACTATTTGGAGCGCAAAATACAAATCTACTCACGATACCACAGAAGCAAGTACTAAGGATTGGAAAGTGGTTACCTCTCGCCTGAGCAAGGAATAACAAACCAACGATGTGGCCCCGTGCACCACCAAGACTCACAACCGGTCTACACAAGCACACAAACACACAACCAACATATATTAGCTTTCAAACTAATAATGTGGCCAAAACAACACTTGGGGACACAAAATTCCTATCTCCCATCAAAACTCTACCCAACTCAAAGGGTATAACTATCAAAACAACACTCCAAAGTCCTCAAAGTCTATTAAAACATCAAGTCTCCTTCTAAGCATCAATTATAGTTCAAACCTCAAGGGCCCACTATAGGAATTCAACCTCCAACAACCCATTTGAACAATTAAGGTTCCAACAACAAATCTAAACCGATCAAACATCCAATTTAACCCTCCTTTACATAACCCAATTCACAAAACTCAAAATCAATCTCTACATTATCATCCTCAATCCCAAATCATCCAATTCCATAAACCCTAACTCCAAAAATTCAAGATTCTTTAAATCCAAGGAAACTACACCGATTAAATACTTAAACTAACCCAATGCAATCAATTAAACCCAAAACAATCGGTCAAAAACCTCAGTTCAATCACAACTTAGAAAATCTAGGGTTTCACCAAAAATCCTCAGAAATTTCCAAGAAATTCCAAGAAAGAAAGAAGATTAGAGGTTAAAATCACTTACTTGAGGTAATGGATCCTTAGAAATGCCTTTCTCAAGCCTCCTCCATGAAACCCTAGCAGAGCTTCTCTCTCCTCCTTCAGATTTTCCAATTTTCGCACATCTGAACCCTCCAGCGATTATATAGAATCGCGACCTTTCGCCGCGGCGAACTCCATATTCGCCGCGGCGAACTAATCCCGAGAGGGATTACTCGCCTGAAAAATCGACTTCGCCGCGGCGAACTCTAATCTTCGCCGCGGCGAAAGCTTCCCGAGAGGAAACTCTCGCTCGCCCAGACAACCTTCGCCGCGGCATACCCTACCTTCGCCGCAGCGAAACCTTCCCGAGAGGGAAGCCTCGCTCACCTGAACAACTTCGCCGCGGCATCCCCAAGACTTCGCTGCGGCCAAACCTGCCCGAAAGACATAGCCTACTAGGAACTCCCGGTTCCCTGAGAGGGGTATGTTCACCTATACCTCCAACATACCTCAAATCCAACTCAAACACCAAGATCAAGATTAAATCACTAATCTATCCTCAAAATCAACCCAAAAGAGGCTATTAAAACCCAATAAAACTTAGGATGTTACATTGGGAGTATTAAAATTAAAACTCTATCAACAAGTATATTTTTTAGGATTCAAACTTATATTTTTTTCTTATAAAAGTAAGACCACTTATTATCTTAATCAATGACTTACGGTGGATTGGTGGCATATTTTACTTTAACTGACCATTCATTTTCAAAGTTATAAATAGTAAATACTGAACGCCTTGGAATAATCCGGTGCTTCAAGCTATATCCAAGTGCTGGGTATTTTGCTATTTATTCGAGTGGCAAACTCATTTCATCTACAAGAAACTTCATTGAGTCCGAAATTTTCTGTTGATTGTGTCATGCATTTTGGATTTTGTTTGACAAAAAATGGAGTCATTAATTAATGGTTGACATTTATCTTTATGAATCCTAAATTTCTGTCTTATACTGTGATAAACAGCAAGGATCATTTTAGAGGGAAAAAAATGGGATTTAACTATCCAAAGATTGGCCTATTTTGAACCACTAAAACATCCCAACAAGTACATTATATTTGAGACTCTCTCAGTTGATACCAATTAAAAATATTAACCATCTGATCATAATTTAATGTCAATGAGGAAGGAGTTACAATTTTTTCAACAAAATGGAACTCCGATATCTTTGAGGGTTTTTTTTTTTGGAAAACCATATTGGAGGTACCTGTATTTTTTGTAAATTTTCAATTTGGTACCTATGTGTTTTTTGTTCTTAACTAAATCTTTAATTTTGCTCAATTAACATCATTAATCCTTATATAGAGACTAAAAATGCCAATAGAACAAAGTTATAAGAGTTAATGTTGCTAAAAAAATAAAATTAAATGTTTAATCAAGAGGAAAAAACACATAGGTATCAAATTAAAAATTGAGAGAAAGTAGAGGTACCTATGATATGGTTTTCCCTTTTTTTTTTTAAATTGAAGAGATCTAAATCTCATTCAAATAAGTGAGACTAAAATTAAAAAAGTCTAAAAGTTATTTTTACCCTCATTTTTTTTTACTATGCATAAGTATTCTTTTATTAAAAACAATTCTATTCGAAACACTATTAAGGACTAAATATAAACACATTTCTCATCAAGAATTTAAATATTAGTTTGCCACATTGTCAAAGACTAATTTCTTTCATTAGACTAAACTCTGTTAATCACTCTAATATCCATAAATAAACCGTACCATGAGTATTTGAAAGTCTTTTGAGCTCAATGTTATCCAAAAATCATTTTACTTATGTTGAATAACATTGCCTTTTTATCAAAAAAAAATATTTTAAAAAAAAAACGCGTAAGATTGTCCACCTCCATTTTCAGTCACTTTTAGCTTTTCATTTTTCATTTACAAATAATTGGTATATATTTTTAAACTTTATAGTATTAAATTTATATATCTTATTAAATACATCTATGTATCATGTGTATATATTTTTTTTATTATTTATAAATATCTTTTGATAATATATTAACTCTTGTTTTTATAATTTTACTTTTAATATTTTTCCTCAAATTATTAAATTTTATGAAAGTTTCAGATTGACAAACATACACTTTTACAAGAAAAAGTATTCAAATCCAGACCCATAAAATTGATTGTCTGTAAACAACCTCATCTCAATTTACTCACCAAGAGCAAAATC